GTGTGTGTGTGTGTGTGTGTGTGTGTGTGTGTGTGTGTGTGTGTGTGAGGAGGGTGCTGTCAGGCCCTGGGATGGGCTAGGGGAGACAGGAAGTGTGTCGGCCAGCATTGCTCTGTTTATAAATCACAACTTAAAAAGCAATCGGGTTGAAGTGACTCGGGCCCCCAGCCCGGACTGATTGATTTCCCCTGGCGGGGGAGGGGTCCCCACGCCTCCCCAGGTCTGCGGCACATAAACCCCCACCGCCCACAGAGCACTGTTTCCATTCCCCAAAGCGGAGGGGAAATGCCAAATTACATTACAATGTAGATGGGAGCAGCCCTGGCAGCTGAATCCCGGTATCTGATTCCCCGGTAACCAAGTTAAATAGCATTCTCGGGGGAAAACGAAGCAAACATAATTGGGGGAAGATGCTGGCTGGCTGCTTCATCCAGAGATTTCATTGGGCTTTTTTCCTTCGTCATCCTTTAGTATGTAATGAAGCCAGACAACAAACTTGGTCCTGAAACCCCCCTGGCTCATTTCCCTTCCAGGGTCTTCATTCCCCTCTGCTCTCGTGTTAGGGTCCTTTGGGAAGAATGGAATCGCTCAGCTCTCTGGGCTGCCAAGCTTAGAAATATGATGAACCCTACATTGAAGGCTTTCTTCTTTCATTATTATTATTATTTCACTTTTCTGCTCAATAACTTTACTCTTGCTTAAAAAAATAAAAAAGGTAAATTCACTTCGGAGTGAATCAAAACCAGTTGGAGTCTAAGTAAATTTCCCTGTGGGGGCAGGTAGGAGGCTCTGCTTGGCTACCCCTCCCCTTCATATGACACTCTTCCCAGCCCCATCAGGAATGGGGCCAGGACCGGGGACTGCCTAGGGCCAGATATAGGGGTGTCTTGGGGTTAAGAGACTTAGCAAGATTGACAGAGAAAAGCCATAGCCATCAGACCCACACTGCAGGTTTCATATGGTGGAAAGAGCATTAAATTCATAGGCAAAAGACCTCAGCTCAATTCCAAGCAGTTCTGTTCCCTTGCTGTGTGACCTTGAGCAAATCACCTAGGCAATCTGGGCTTCAGTTCCCTCACCTGTAAAACTAGAGGATTAGATAAAATGACCTTGGTGGTCCCTTCCATCTATGATTCTAAAAGCATCCTCCTCTCTGAACTTCAGTTTGCTCATCTGTAAATGAAAGGATTTATACAAAGGTCCCTCCCACCTCTGAGATTCGTTCTATGGTTCTAGGCAGGAGACAACCATGCGGGAACACGGCGCCAGCGTCCAGAAATATGGGGGCCAGAGTTGTGAGCTGAGGTCCACAGAACAGATAGAAGCAACTTTGTTTGGGACTGGCTCCAAGTTTCTGACAGACCAAGAAAATGAGGCAGGTCTGAGTTAACAAAGAGTTGGAAACAATTTGCCGTGCCTAGCATCTACAGCCATGCTGGTGAAGCCAGTCCTATCTTCCTGATTTTCCACCAGTCACCTTCAGCTGGACCACTCCCTGCTCCACCCCTGCCCTTGCCTCCAACAGGACTGGCCAGGGAAAGAACCTTAGAAGATAGAATATAGAACGTCAGAAAGGGATGGAGTCTTAGAATAGAACATAGAATGCTTTATCTGGAAGGAACCTTAGAGATTACCTTAACCTGGGGTCCATGAACTTAGAAACATTTTTTCAATAACTATTTCAATATAACTGGCTTCCTTTTGGTTCTGTGTGTGTTTTGCTTTGTGCGTTTAAGCCGTCATTCTGAGAAGGGGTCCATAGGCTTGCCCAGAAGGGCGAGTTGGTTAGTGATACAAAAAAGGTCAGAGTTTGATAATCTTGTCCAATCCCTTTGATTTAAGAGATGGATGAAACCAAGACCAGAGAGAAAATGACTTGTTCGAGGTCCCATGGCTAGACCTAGAACCCAGATATCCTATTTCCCAGTCCAGTGCTCCCTTCCAATTATGATGAGTTCTTTTACTGGAGAACCTCTGTGCTGGCTTCGTCTGAGCCAGCCCCACATCACTCCAATGCTGCTCGCCTGGGATTTCCAAGGGACTGGAGATTTCTCAGATTCTCTTGGACTGTCTGTAGCTTTCCAGCTG